GGAGTCGAGGAACGGTGGACGTGAAGTCGTGGGAGAAACGCGGCGTGCGGCCGGGGAGCACCGTCCGATGCACCGCCATCATACAGCAGTCTGTACCCTGATCTGGCACAGTCTGGCTCCCAGACATCAGCACGGCACAGCTTCACACGGATCAGGGACAGGTTCAACACACTACAGGACGTTAGTATGGCCATACGGGAGGCTGGGCTCGAGTCTAGTAACCTCATATTTGGTAAGTCAATATAGATATTAGTAACTGTTACAGTAGTAGCCTCTCCCAGGCTTTGGAAGGTGGCTGGAAAGAGTAGGACGGCCAAATAGACTCAGAAAACAAGTAACATGCCGGGGGAGTTGGTCTGCTAAAGAGAACAATTTGCCGTGTGCTTAAGCTTCAGGAGCAGCAAACCGTTCTCTCCAGCAGACCAACTCCCCTGGTATGCTATCTCTCAATTTGGCCGATTTCTACTTTTTCCAGCCGCCTCCCAAAGTCTGGTAGAGGCTACTGAGCAGAGGTTTGGGTTTTGGGGGTATTTTTAGTCTGTTTTTAGGCTTTTTTGGGGGGGTTTCTCTTTTGCACTGAATTTTTTTTTGGTGGGTTTGGTGGGAAAAAAAAATTCAGTGCAAAAGAGAAAACCCCCCCAAAAAAGCCTAAAAACACACTAAAAATACCCCCAAAACCCAAACCTCTGCTTGGAGAGTAGGTAGAGGCTACATGTAGCATGTTTTACATCAAACTGCTGTACTAAAAAAGTGGTACATAGTATATACCTCATCAAGTAAGTGTCATTTACATTTACTAGTACATGACTCTTGCTAATTAGAAGCTATATAACCAACTAGCATTAACTAACATTGTACTAGCTTAGCTTGGAATCCATCCCTACAAAATAATTTGCTGGTTCTAGAAGTAACTGCTGCCTGTAAACTCCTAGAACCAGGAAATACATGACTGTGCAGGGAGTCGGTGGAAACTCCGGAGGATGGCACCAAGGCTACCAAGAACCAGCTGTAACCAACATATCCAAAAATGTCATCAAGTCAAAGCATAAAGCACCAGCAGGGATTTTTGTAGAGGGAGCATGTCAGGGATTAGATCGCATTAGCATGGCAAACGAGGAGGGTTTTTTTTTTTTTATGAGAGTAAAGCAGTTTTAATGCTAAAATGCAATGTTTTTACATGTTTACTGGAAAAAGATCATTTTGAGAAAGACTAAATGTTGTGTATTTAGACACTAAGGGTTCAATCTGAAAATTGGTATGAGGGAGCTGACTGGTTACATGAGGGAGCAGCTCCCTTATTCCTCTGTTCAGAAAAACCCCTGACCAGAAAACCTGCACAACTGTATTCTCCTAAACTAAACCGTTCGGGCTGTCTCTCATTAGTCATTACAAACACAGAAAGTTCTTTCATTTCTGCACAAAGTACAAATGTATCTAAATTCTAATGACTGCCAGTAATGATCTGTAATGACTCTAACTTGTTTTTCTCTCTCTACCAGGTATTGACTACACAAAGAGTAATGTCTATCAAGGTCAGGTGACCTTTGGTGGGCGGAGCCTTCATCACGTCGACCCTGATGTCCTAAATCCCTACCAACAGGTACATTATCTCATATTATAATATAGCCAGGTGACGTTGACCAATCAGAAGGCTCCATTCCACATTCCTTATGACGCCGTAATGTCACAAATGGAGTCAAAATCGGGTATTTATTCATCCCAATCCATACATTAAACAAAACGAATAATCACCCGCATATGACCTCAGGTGACCCAATAGAACAGGGCTCTAGTTCTAAAAAATCCAAAAATAACTTAAGTTGTGTTCCAACAACCTCAGGTGACTCCCATAAGAACACCTGTTCCCTGCCTGTGACCCAGTTAACATGAACTCTACCCAGTGACCTCAGGTGACTCCAGATGGAACTATGTTCTATGTTCTATTCAGCATGTGCAACGGGTAAATATTGTACATTATCATATAGCCGGGTGACGTTGACCAATCAGAAGGCTCCATTCCACATTCCTTATGACGCCGTAATGTCACAAATAGAGTCAAAATCGGGTATTTATTCATCCCAATCCATACATTAAACAAACCCAGTAATCACCCGCATATGACCTCAGGTGACCCAATAGAACACGACTCTAGTTCTAAAAAATCCAAAAATAACTTGAGTTGTGTTCCAATGACTTCCATAAGAACACCTGTTCCCTGCCTGTGACCCAGTTAACGTGAACTCTATCCAGTGACCTCAGGTGACTCCAGATGGAACTATGTTGTATGTTCTATTCAGCATGTGCAACGGGTAAATTGTACATTGTGTGCATCAGTTTGGATAGGCTATCGTGTAAGCTATATAATGTCCCGCCCTTTCTCGGTGAATATGGTGTGATTAAGCCTTGTCAGTTGCTATAACCACAGAATAAAGCCACCAAGTGAGCGCAGCGAATCACACCATATCACACCATATTCACCTCGGGGCGGTTCATTAACCCTTAATTCATAACCCCACCATTGTCAAACTAATGTTGTTTATCGGTATACAGTCAAACCTGTCCAAGCCGGCCACCCAGGGGACCAAAGAAAAGTGGTCACCTTGGACAGGTGGTCTCCTTGAAGAGGGTCACCTCACAACATGACAGAGACATAAATGGTTTCCAACTTGAGATGTTTTGATGTCAAATGCTGTAAGCATCTTCAGTCCTGTGGTGAATGCACTGGAGAGGGTGGCACATGGAACACTTTACGTCAAACAAAAAAATTGCCCAGTAGTCGAGGCAAACTGGCTAGTTTATTCACAAATTCTCATTAGTCATCATCAATAATCCAACATGATATCGAAAATGATGTGGTCACCATGGGCAGGTATTGGGCCTTCAGCGGACCCAACTCAGGGTGGTCGCGGCTGCGTTATCCAGGTGGTCACCTTGGACATGTTGCTGAATGCTTGTGTCAATAGGGAAAATTTTGGGACCGAGAAAAAGTGGTCACCATGGACAGATGGCCTGCTTAAAGAGGTGGTCTCCTTGGCAGGTTTGACTGTACTAGTAGCAAACTTGTCTAAGATGACCACCCAGGGGGAACATGGTCTTCTTAGACAAGAAAAGTGGTTTTATTATACATGCACAAAAACTGGGACAAGACAAGACAGACAACAAGAAAACTACAGAAAAATTTCCACCCATAATAGACTACTCCTTTGACCCTTTTTGAAGGGCAGTCTATTAAGTTTTTACTCTAAAATCTTTTCAATGCCACCACTGATTACATGTATCATGAATTGAAATAACTTTGCTAATTGTAAAGCAATCTTTTTTGACCAAAGAACACCCGTAACAAACATTAATGCAGCCCAGGTATGACCCGGGCTGCGATTACGTTCGATACGGGTGTTCCGGCCCGTGTGATAAATATAGAATACAACACGGTGTATTCCGTATCGCCCTAGGTACCAGCCCGACCGCGCGTCGGATCGCCCGACGGCCGAAGGCCGGAGGGTGATCCGATCCGCGGAAGGGCTGGGACCGAGGGCGATGCGGAATACACCGTGTTGTATTTTATTTATGTCATACGCACCCACGAAAACACGCCTTTCAATGCGAAATGAGCAAAAATTTGGTGTCCCTAATCCCAAAAAACGCAACAACATCAATTCCAACGTCCGAATTTTGCATTCGAATTGTCGAAAGCATTGCACGCGGTTAGGGCGAAACGCGTTCGAATCGTTCTATGGAACATTTGGAAGGGCCGGGCTGTACGCGTTAAGAACCCCCGGGCCGTACCGCTAGTTATCACACGGGCCGGAACACCCGTATCGAACGTAATCGCGGCCCGGGTAGGACATAACTAGCGGTACAGCCCAGGGCTTCCAAATGTTCCATAGAACGATTCAAACGCATTTTGCCCTAACTGCTTGCACCGCTTTCGAAAATGCAAATACAAAATTCAGACGTTGGAATCAGTGTGGTTGCAATTTTTGGGTTTAGTAATAGGGACACCAAAGTTTCGCTCATTTCGCATTGAAAGCCGTGTTTTCTTGGGTGGCTATGACATACATGTACATATTTAGGCTATCGGGCAATCTGACATGCAGTCGGGCTGGTACCTCGGGCGAATCAATTACGGAATACCCCGTGTTGTATTCTATACGTACATACATTGTATATTGTCTTCTCCCTCTAGGTCATTGCCATTCTCGGTGAGACTCTTTCTCACTTTGACGATGACGGTCTCATCCCTGCCTTTGGATTTGGCGATGCCTCAACCTCAGACAAACGAGTGTTCCCGTTTAAGGAGACGGGGTTCTGTGACGGCTTCACGGACGTATTACAGTGTTATAACCTGATCACGCCCAGAGTGAAGCTCAGCGGGCCCACAAACTTCGCCCCACTCATATATCAGGCCATCGATATAGTAAAACAAACTAAAGCGGTAAGTTCACTCTCAATGGACTTATCACATTATTACATCACAGTTTGTTTACCACAATGAATGCCGGTCAATCGACGTTTATATTGTACAGGGGTGAGTATAGCGCAGTGTGTGTTTGTGTAGCGTTAGCCTAATATAAGGCTTTTAATACAGTGCTACTTTTATCTACATGTACTGTCACAACTGAATCACCCAATACGGCATGTAATGCTGACTGTCAAAACAACTAGATGCAGCAAAACTCAAACATACCTGACTTTGAAAACTTTGAAACGATCTTTATTCTTTAACTGACTGTTCTAGAATGTTCTTTATAACAGGTAAACAAACTGTACATGACGTCATAATGCGATAGGTCCATTGCTCAGTATTACAAGTTGTACAGTCTGCCTACCTGCCAATATGCACAGGCCAGGTACTGGCCCCTTGCTCCCCTCCGTCAGGTACTTTCAGCCAGCTCTATCAAGGGTAATAGTCTCTGCTTCTCTTAGGCCACACCAATTTAATTTCTTGGTTAATGGATTCGCCCACTTCATTTTTTTCTGATTTGCAAATAAAATAAAAATTCAGAATCAAGTGCAAAATGCTCATATTTTGCCCTGAACAGTTGAAAACAGTCCTTTTCTTCCTGGTTGTTACAGTTATTCCATCTTTGAATGCAGGCACTGGTGTCATTAATAGTTCAAAATTCATTGTTTAAATTTTGAACCAGCCTGGTGTGTTGACTTCATGGCTCCTATTTGTACCATTTTTGCCATAATAGGATATATATAATATATACAGGCCTAGGCTCCATTATTTTTCAAGAAAAATCCGTTAACCAAGTGTGGCCTTAGGGTAAGCCCTGTGTAATTTCTTGAGTTTGTTGTACACTTATACATGTAGGTAGTAATAAAAGGGATACATTGTATGTGGGTCCGGCTGAATTGAGAAAAACCCCTGTCACACATTCAGAACCTTCCCCTGAACACCAGCTAACCAAGGTGTGCTGCAGTTGGGGAGTAGTCTGATCAGATCTAGGTGATGCCTAACTTTCTATTTGAATCAGATTGACTTTGAGTTAAATTTGACTCAAATTTCACTGCCACCCTCAACCCCATCTACTTTCTAACAGTAACACCAGCCAACCATGGCCGAAATGCTTGTCCACGGGCATTCCCAAATGTTTCAGACATTTTGAGACATTCAGCTGGTGCTGCCCAACAGTAAATCCTGGCAGAACTTCAGCCAATCACAGCCAACCTTGACCTTGCTCCCAATCTACCCGGTGTGAGCACGTCGGCAGAACGTACTGCGCCTGCGTGAAATCCGTATTGTACATTGCATTTCGGCAGAATGTCTCATATAAGATTGTATTCACTCATATAAGGTTAGCATTTCGACAGTAGTTTCCAAATGTTATGTCGGAAAGAATATCCTCTGCAACAGGAAAAATTCTGATGCAACATTGACCAAAAACCCAATGAAAAACGCGACAATACGGGGTTCTGTGCAGGCGCAGTATGTTCTGCCGACGTGCTCACCGTGTACATGTACTCCTAACCATGGTTGGGGAGGGGGGTGACTAGTGTTTTTTAGAGGCCAAATTCAGCTATGTGTGACTGGGGCTTATGATATTAAGAGATGCATATTCCAATGAGGTAAACAAGCAGAGGTGGACTGTGAGATCTCTAGAAACCAATGTTTAATTTTGCCTCAAGACACAAACATGATGATGTGAAGTTGGTGCATGAGGATATGCACATCATAATGTCTGCTCTTATGTGCAAAATGAAAGCTTTGCTTAAAATTCTCAACCACTTTTTTTACAAGAGCCCATGTTTCAATGACCACCAGTCATCTTCATCAAGGCTAATATGACTGGTTTAATACGGGTTCACAGACAGTGTACAGGAAAGCTGCTAACAATAACCCAGTCCCAAACATAACAGATCTAGAGACATGTCATATTGTTACAACTTACAATGGTGATGGAATAAGTGTTATGGACGGAATGATTTGTCTGGATAAGGTCACAGCAGGTAAATTTTATGGATGACATCCTCCGCAGACTCCAAATCTAATGCGAGCGGGCAAAAAAAAACAAGGCGGGCCAAAAAAACAAGGTTTCTACATTTTAAAATTTTGACTCAATCATTGTACAAATGGTTTTGATTCAGTGGGAACATCACATTATACACAACAAGCATCACATATCAATGCATCATAGTATAAACAAATTTTAAACATTAAATCAGAGCCTTTTCTTCTCTCCTCTCTTCATAGTTACATATCTGTCATCCACGTTCCTGCATGGCAACAGACATCTTTGCCCAATTTTGGCATGTTGACCACTGACAAAATTTCTTTTGTTTCCAAAATCAGGCAAAGATTCATGCACGCCCTGATGTCATCCATAAAAATACTTGCTGTGGCCTAAGATTGTAAATAATGAGAAGTTGAATTTCACATACACCACAGCTGACAGTACTTTCCTCTCCTTGTTAGTACCACATCCTGGTGATTGTTGCTGATGGCCAGGTCACCAGCGAGCGCGCCACCCGTAACGCCATCGTCCAGGCCTCCAAGTACGCGCTGTCAATCATCCTGGTGGGCGTGGGGGACGGACCGTGGGACGCCATGCGCGACTTCGACGACAACCTTCCCAGCAGGCAGTTCGACAACTTCCAGTTTGTCGATTTTCACCGGGTCCGAGCGACCGCTCAGAATCCTGACACGGCGTTTGTGGTACAGGCACTGATGGAGATCCCAGACCAGTACAAGGCTATCAGACAGATGGGGTATCTGGATAACTAGTTGCGGGATACAGTCGCATGCAAAATTATTCAACCCCTCTTGTATTTTGGGGAATTTTGCCAAAATAAGGAAAATTGCAACTGTAGAACATTCCTAACTCATGTAGTTGATTAACAGATAGTTAATTACAATTTAATATCGGAGAAAAAGTCAATATTATTTCATAGTTCATTTGAAATGGCAACTTTAACAAAAAAAGCAGGTGGCAAAATTATTCAACCCCTACACAATTCATCAACTACATGTAGGTTTGGACATACTGTAATTCACAATTTTTTCGAAGCAATTTTATTTCGCAGTTTTTCAAGTTACTGATGTACCGCAAACTTATTACTTTGAACAAAGAATTCACCAATTTTCTGACTCCGTGAACTTATAATTCAACGAAAATGTCAATTTTTCTCAAACTGCGAATTTTTGCAACTGTGAACGTCAGTGAATTACAGTACACAGGGTTTGAAACCCACTCTCGTACTTTCGCGGTGTAAGTCATGGTTTCTGTGCAAGATTTGTGGAAGATGCCAGTTACATGTAGCTTGGCATTATCATTTTTAGTTGCCCAGTACATATTCTGGGCAGTTTGAGAAAAATGGACATGTTCGTGGAATTATAATTTCACGGAGTCAGCACGTTCTTAAAATTTTTTAAAGAAAATTGGTGAATTCTTTGTTCAAAGTAATAAGTTTGTGGTACAGGAGTAACTTGAAAACTCTTTGTACATTATACAAAGTGACCTTTTAAAAGTTTTGATACAGCAGACCAGCTGACAACTTCAGAAATAAACTGTCCCACCACGGCTGTACAGTGTATCTGATTCACTATTTGTAAAGGAAACATAATGACAGATATTTTGATGTAAAGTGATTGATTATATATTTTGATAATGTGTGATACATGTTATTGTATGTATCACACAAAATGTAATATATGTATTTTGATATTTGCATGTAATTTGTCTTTTCTAAAGTGCAGTGTAGTTATCGAAATAGCCGCACTCTCGAAAAGTATTTCGAGCCCTGCATACATGTATCTACTTCAATACATTCCATACACTCATAAATGTAATACTACATATATAAAATGTGTTGAGTAAAGTAGAGTACATTGTTCTTTAAGCCACTGGTAGTAAGATTCCAGTTGAGGCAACTCATCTGTTTTTTCAACTGTTATTCCTGGCTTGTGTGGACCCAGTGCCGTGTAGTTGTATACTACTGTACTGGATGGTATTTCACATGCTTGTCAAGTCTATGTTTGAATGTCTTTGAGGGTTAGACATTTAAAGGTAATGAAATACACACAAAAAAACAGTAACTCAAGCAACTGCATGGGTAATTTTGAAAATGGTAAGACGTTTTGAGTAGCATCCACTACCTTAAAAAGTTTCTTTAGTGACACATGAAAGCTCTGAAATTCGACAGGTTTTCATGTACAGGCAAGAACTATCGAACGTTTCTGTTAAATGTACTGCCTTTGTCTCAACTCTAGTAAAATACTATGTAATAATTTTGTACTATGCAATCTACATACATGTACATATATTTACTCAAATTAGAAAATGACGGTAATAATTTAAGTTCAAGTTCAATTTTATTTAAATCAACTGGCATGTACACAGATTCACAGAAAATGTGACATGAAATTCGTTGACAATTACAATAAAAGCTCTCAACATGAAGACAACGATTAAAAGCAGCATAATTAAAAACCAGTAAAAAATACAAAACACTCGTGATGAACAGAGTTCAGTTCTTATACTTGTACAACTTAATCGCTCTAGGAAAGAACAAAAGAACGAAATTCGAAAGAACGAATTGTACACAATAGAGAATATGAGAATGATTGTATATTAGAGTAGTAAGCAATGTCAATATACCATCAGAGCAAAATCCGTCTAAAGTGTCAAATATTTATAAACTCATAGTTTTGCCTTTAGGCCATGTTGATTTGATTATATGGATGACATCCGCGCGCGCATGAATTTTCGGCCTTTTCAAAAAAAAAAAAGTTTTCAACCATACTGTAAATTGTACAAAACAGTTGCAAAATGAGCAAAAATATACCATAAGTTAGAAAAAAAATTAATAAAAACTATACCAATGTCGTAGAATGCCAAAATCAAACGAAAAAAGACGAAATTGTACAGAAATGAATTTGAAGACTAGATTATTTGCCAAACCATATTCTGTGCCATATGCTCGACTCTCATGACCACGTAGATTTCATAATGAAAGGAACTTTTTGTTTTTGGCAAAACTTTTTTTTTAATTCGCACGCGCGCATCAGTTTTGGGGCTTCCGGAGGATGTCATCCATATAATCAAATCAACATGGCCTTACAAATTTTGTAAAGGCAAAATACTGAGTTTATAAATATTTGACACATTAGACGGATTTTGCTTTGATGGTATATGTTGACGTTGCCCAAGTGACTTACATACTATCATGTATCATCACATTATTTTCTTGTAGTAGTGACAAGTCATGCTGTTGTGTTGGTTGTACATTTTTCTGAATGTGAGCACTGCAGTTAGTTGGCTACATGTAGCTTGAAAGACAACTTTTAAACCACTCATCGTTATCCAAAAATGTGTAAAGCATCATGGACTGTATCACTTGCAGTGTAATTTTTAGTTCTGAAAGCTGAAGAATATGAAATTTGAAAAATTGTCTATATATAGCAATATATTTGTAGTCACCTCCCTTTAATTTGTTAAGATTCCTTCTGGACATGAAAAGTAGTTTCTTTGTTTGGGATTTAAGTTATGATTCTTTATTAACTCGACAAAAGTACTTTTGTATGGTCTACTACAACTTAGATCAAAGCAAATTGAATGCATCATTAAACACCCTTCACTATCACTTATTTTATATGTAGAGACTTATTATGCAGTAATCTATTTGACAATTGTTACCATGCAGCTTAAAGTTTATTCTTCAATTATTACTATGCGGATTCTATACTTCCACTTTTACTACATACAGTGACTGTATGTGTGCTATTTATTTCACTTGCGATGTTGCCATACATAATAATTTCACTTGTAGTACTAATGTTGGAATTCAGAGTTTTTTCAGCTGTTCTTTTCCTGAAATGATTTCGGAATTTTATGACATTAGTATCGTTTTCCAATCTTTTTTTGCAACATACGACATATATTCGCTCATTTTGCACGATTGGTTGGTTGGAAACTTTTTTGTGGAGAAGAACAAAAATTCATGCGCGCGCAGATGTCATCCATATAATCAAATCTACATGGCCTTATTACCTTCGCCAAGAAGGTTATGTTTTCAGGGGCGTTCGTGTAATATGTGTTTGTGTGTGTGTGTGAGTGTGTGTGTGTGTGTGTGTGTGTGTGTGTGTGTGTGTGTGTGTGTGTGTGTGTGTGTGTGTGTGTGTGTGTGTGTGTGTGTGTGTGTAGATACGATAACTTGAGACGGCTTTAATTAGTTGTTTTGATACTTGGTAGGTGGATATGTCATCCATATAATCAAATGAACATGGCCTTATTAGAATCTTTTTTTCTACCTCCTTGTTAGATTTAAGTTAGCCATTTCACAGGTCAGTATTTCATGCCAGTGCCTATAATACCAACGGTTATACACAAAGCCATGTTAGTAATTATATATTACACATTGTCTATCACAGTTGTAGTAGGCATTTCATCGGTCTCGTTAGACCACGAAGAAGAATGGCGTCGTGTGGTGTAGTGGTACATCACTGGACTATGAAACGGGGAGACCCGCGTTCGATTCCGGGTCGGTCCGGCCAAACAAGTCCGAACATGCGCCGCGACGTTGTACCCTTGGGAAAGGTACTTTTACACGAATTTCCTCACTTCACTCAGGTGAAAATGAGTACCTAGCTTTGGTTAGGAACGTCCCTAGGACGTTAAATGGAGGTCCCGTGTTTGAGGAGAGCCACACCCCACGCACGTACCCACCGCACTTATATTATCGAAAGGAGTAGGGGACCTTCCCGGTGTGAGTGGTTCAAACCTTACAGTCTTGTCTCGGGGTTGGCATCTTTGAAAAGGTGATAGTCACCTAGTTATGTCAATCCTTCCACAAATGTGGTAAATCTTCATAAATAAAGAATCTTCTTCTACATCATGTTCTTTTAATTACATGATGTAGAAGAATATTAAAATCTTTGTTTTACGCTGAGAGCGTCTCAGTTCTGATGCGAGTCTCTGTTTTTCTCCCCCCCCCCATGTAAGCCCTTCTCAATTCAACTTCCTGTCTTCAAAGTGTTCGGTTTGTTGTAAGAGTCTCCCATGTGTTAATGTCTATGTCCATGTCTTTCACGCTCCGTTTAAGTACATTAGTGGGGCAGATAACTGAAATAATCTTTCACTTTGTGATACAAGCACCATACTTGGTACAAATACTCATGAGACATTACTCTTTTGAAAAAGTACGCGGGCCACTTGATTTGACTTTTGGCGTTTAGAACAGGAGATACAAAGCCCAGAAGGTCGGATGCAGTACCAAAAAGCGCCGCTAGTGGGCGCCAAAAGTCAAATCAAGTGGCCCGCGGACTTTTTCAAAAGAGTAATGTCTAATGAGTATTTGTACCAAGTTTGGTGCTTGTATCACAATTTGAAAGATTCCTCCAAAATTTGATGTTATCTGCTCCACTACATCCTTAAAGCGCAGATGAGGAAGGATGACCACGTGCTCTTTTCCCATTGGCAAGTTCACTGAGTGTACAACATCGCACAGTATCCATTATTATAATACAAGCAGATGTAGAGGTACTGGCTTGCTTTGAGAAAACTAGCCAGATTGCAAATTTTATTTTCAGAGATGCTATTGAAGATGAAACAACTTGAGTCAGGATGAACGTTGTCCTTAATGACTGCTACAGTAACTGTACATAGGCCTGCAGTGTCGTTGAAAACATAGGTCTCCTGATTACAGATAGCTTTAGGTAGATTTTACGTCGTGTGGTGTTGAGCCCATGCTGTTTTGCATCAGTTTATATATAATTTATTGACACAATTTGTAATCTAAATAAGAAGTAAATTTGCAGATTTGTAATTGAACATAGAACCTAGAAAATTTTAATATTTGAACCAAAATAACTGATTTTTCCAAAAACTGTCAGTCACAAACCCGTTGCCATGGCAACACAAAAAGTTAGGAATTTACCTAATTAATATAAAATTGTTGCCAGATGTCTTTTAGGAAAAGTCACCAAATTTGACGGTTCTAGGACAAGCCGTTTAGTTACATGTACTTTCTGTGACCCCGGGGCTCGTTCACTATACACTCAGGGGAGGGAAGGCTTCCTCAAAATCATGAAATCATGGCAGTGCCATGCAAACAATAACCCTAACAACAACCACCGTCGCCATGGCAATGTATGTTTACATTGCCAGTCTTGTTTGTCGAAGTGTTGGAGACTTCCTTTATTTGTTTTCAACTTTGTTTACTATCGTCTACACTGGACTCACAAGCTTTCGTTACGTGTCATTTCCCGCGTCCCACATACATTGTACCACGTGTGCAACCCGCAATCTGCACAAACCGGTTGTACATGGCTCCTATAATTGTCGGCTTCCCGTCGTTTGAGGGTTCCAGTATTCTCGAAACATCCGTTCCCCAAAAGGTAGGTTCATCTCTTCATCACTTTTAAGCGGGGTTAGGGAAAGTACATGTACATGTTACGATGTATGATCTGTGAAGCCGTCTCACGTGAAATTGCTGTTCAATTGTCTTATAGACCTAATTGGAAACTTAAGGAAAAAATCAAATGCCTTCAGGCTACTAAAAATGTATGTCTTAACAACATTACAACAACTCTGCCGTTCATACAAGAGCCGTAACTTTTGTAGATAAAAATTTAAAAAAACCCTTTTACGTGATATGTTTCTCCTAGATATAATAACGCATAGAGCATAATACATGAGTGTGGGATGTTTATATACTGTGTATTGATGAGTCCGCAGAATTTACATAATTAAGATGTCGTTTCAACTGCAGCAAAATGGTGGACAATGGCACGGCGTTCTGATGACGGCGAGTTCGAAACACTTTTCCAAAATGGAGATCCTGAAGATAGGAGGAAGGACTTGAATTGGCGCCTCTGGATCAAGGTAGGCTCGTCTGTGCTTGGCTTCACTGGTTGGTTTTACTGAATTAATTATGATCCGAACATTTGTCCAAACTGTCGCTTCAAAAATGTCACTTGACAGCAACAAGGAATTGATTAGCAAACAAACGATTTGTGTGCTTAGAATAACCATATGCATAATCTAAGCATCAGCTGAATGACGTGTCGTCCGATAATCTTGAACGGATCTTCGAGATCAATGAAAAGGCAGTCTTGTACCTAGGGTAATATAATAATGATGTATTATAAAGTGTCTACAGCAAAAAAAGTTGAAAATTTTTATTGATAGATTAGTAAAAAAAAGGTGTGAACTTATGTACAATTATGTGAAATTATGTGAACTGCAAATTGTGTATAAACTGTGAAGGAATGATTTTTGGTTGACAGACAGGTTGCAGATGAGAATAGGGCATCATATTGTATACGTGTGCTCACACAGTTTAGGACAAGAACACATAAAAATGCCAAAATGACAACGTTTACACACCGGGTGTATGTTTATTCCCATTTCATGCCTAAATCACATTCTTAATTCTCAGTTTAACATGTTTTAATTGTAGCCCCATTATTTCACATTTTTTGAAATGGCTTCGCCGAATTCAAACAACACATGGCATTTCTACCCCTAGGCCAGCTGTAATTACCATACTTGCGAAAAGAGTAGGGATTCACGTTGGTGTGAGTGGGACATTAGTTTTACAGTCTGATATTATATTATACTGTGTCTATTTTGAGAATCTTGTGTGTTAAACAGAAAGCCAGTGTGCTCTGTTAAGGTATACAAGGTTGAAACAGGCAAACACGGGTGCAACACGTCACCGTGTGTTGAATGATAGTTATTAACATGATTGAAAGGACAGCGAATACTAGTAATTCTGGTCGGACAACCACCTGACGTGTCCAAACAACCCAGTCACAACCCAGTCACAAGCCTCATAATCTCTATCTAGACCAGGCTATTTGGGGATGGGGGAGGGGTGCTTTCAGCTCGTGGATCCGGACATGTAGAAGACATGCACTACACTACACTACACTACACTACACTACACTACACTACACAGCAACTCATTATGTAAGCTACCGAAGGAAAACATATTGTTTTTGCTACCTTTTCTCTTCTTCTTCTTCCGATCCAAAAACACTGACCTCTGACCTGGCCAATGACCTGATTCGTTGACGTCTATCACCATGGTAACTGGTGTTGGGTTACATAACGTTGCAATTTTATAGTAGGTACGATTTATACTCCTGTTTGACCATATATATGAAATCAATGTATTTGAGTAAGAATTAACAGAGCAGAACATATTCGAAGATAAACATTATGCATTTGCTTTGCAAATGTTTCCTTTCTAGTAATACTCTGTGGTTATACTTTTCCACAGAATTATTTGGGTGTGACCGCCTGCCTGGCATCCGGGATTTTCACAGGTTTGGTGCCGGCAACGTTTCGATATGTACAAGACAGGGGATACACGGCGTTCCAGCTGAACTTCTTCAGCGACCTGCTACTCATCTCAGTGGTTCTGTGCGTCGCTGTTTACAACAAGACGAACCTCATCCCAACCAGCTACAATCAGGCCCTATGCTTGGTTTTCGAAGGAGTAGGGCGCTTCTTCGCCCTCCTTTGCCTGTTCTCTGCCTATCGGTACCTTCCTCCAGCCAACGCGGATACCGTCATAAACCCAGGCAAGATCGTCTTCGTTGCGATTCTTTCCTGCCTTTTTCTTCAAGAGGTAAGTTGCGAATTTGCAATTCCCAATGACAACCAATAAAAAAGGAATGAATAAATTCTTGTGATCTTCATTTTCGATCCCAAGTTTTCGGTATTTTCTACCGTTGCAGTGTATAAATGACTAAATGTCGTTCCTATGCCATGATTTCAGATCCCAACACCTGTCACCATGTTTGGCAGCCTGTGGTGCATAGCAGGTGTAGCACTGATTGGTTATAGCGGTATGACAAAAGAGGTCCCGGCCACGACGGTCGACTCAGAGAACGTTGCTCTCGGAATGACGCTGGCCATCGTTGCAGGCTTGATTACCTCGATGCTAACGGTTAACATCAAAGGCTTACTGTCATCCGGCACCACCAGAACGATGATTTTGACCTACGCTTACAGCATATCTACAGTGTTGGCAGGGGCAGCGACGACTTTTACGAGTAAAACGTGGATCCTTGAGCCTACAGCTGCCGCAGTCCTGTGTGCAGGTCTTTTAGGTCAGTTCGGAGGAACCGTTCTCCTGTACGTTGGCCTGAAGCTGGTTGAGGTCAATGCTGCAACTGCCCTGAGGCAAGTCGACGTGTTTTCGGCCTTCGGACTACAGTGGGCGATCATCGGTTTTGTTCCGACTATTTTTGATGGTTTTGGTCTGACGTGTATATTCATAGGAACGTTTTCTATTGTTATATGGGAGGCACTGGTCAGTCGGAAGAAAGAGAAACACGTTAGATTCATGAAAGAATTGGAGTTCATTCAAATTCCCACACATCCAGACGATGACTTGTCTTAAAACTGCTGTACTGCTGGCTTTTTGTTTGTTTGTTCAACGAGTTTACCTTTACTAGTTTATTCCTAATCTCTTTCCTGTAGCTGTATCCTTGTGTCTGTATTAGCTGTTATACATGACAGTAGAGTGCTGTTTGAAACATATTTTTGTACTGATTAGGCCATGCTGATTTGATTATATTGGTGACATCCTCTGGGAACCCCAAAATTGACGCGAGCGTGCAAATAAAAAATTTTGGCAAAAAAACGTTTCCTTTATTATGAAATCTACGTAGTCATGAAGGTTGAAAAATGACTAAACACACAGAGTATGGTATGGCGAATAGCAAATGAATGAAGACCTTATGATAATAATAGACTCTTCACGACAGCTGCTTCCTTCTAAACATTGCCAATTTTACCGAGTCAAAAATCATTACTATTCACGGGCACAGAAACATCAATTTGGTTTAGTCGATATACTAGTAGTTAGGCCACACCGCCTTAATTTTATGGATGACATCCGCGCGCATTGATTTTCGCCTGTTCTAAAAAAAATCACGTCCACCGAGGCTCTGACCTGGCTCTAGGCCTGGATAGTCCATGGTAGTTAGCCACAATAGGGAGCCGGGCACCCAGGCTACCGAAGCTCACGACTCAAGAACGCAGTACATACGTACAGTGCCGATTCATAAATTCCGCAAAAAGCCAGCATGTGCCGGCTTGTCGTATACGTCGCTAAGTACTGCCGCAAATGCACAATACCAGCTTTGTATTCCTGTGGTTTAGTAGCATTTTTATTTTTGGCCGGAATTTTTTTTATTCACCTGCGCGCACTAGTTTGGGGGTCTTCAGGGGATGTCATCCATAAAATTAAGTCGGTGTGGTCTTACTGTAAATGCTGAATAACATTATATGTATATATATAAACATATATAAGATAAACATAATATAACTGAGGGCTCAAAATACTGGGTGCTTGTGGACCTTGGTGTACCCAAAATGGAGCTGTGCACACATTTTTTTTCTGTGGGTGCACTGGTATGTTTACTATGTAAAGACATTGCATAGTTGTAGTATATAGCATATTCTTGATGTGTAAGAAAAAGTTAGACTTTGGGTTGAACGGAATTTTTGAAAGCTCCCCAACTGTACTTTGATAGATATGAATATGCACTCTCTACATTTCCTTTATTTTACATGGTGCATTCAAATATTTTTCTGTGCACGCAATTTTTTTTAGATTCGCACACCAATGCATCTATTTATAAAATACATTTCAAGCCCTGATAACTCTTAAAAACATCTAGAGAAAAGCTTGCTCACAGTGCCTGATGTTTCACTTAGATGATCTTGTATCTAACCTGTGACTTCTTGAACGTTAATGTTGTGTGACACAGGAGATGTGAGGTCGGTTTGTCACTCATGTGTGTCCTGTAAAGGAATGCGCAAAGGTTCCATCAGTAAAATGTGATTAGAAGTTGTTAAAATTAAGGGTTAATGACCAGCCCCGAGGTGAATATAGTGTGATAAAGCCTTGTCAGTTGCTATAACCACCGAATAAAGCCACCGAGTGAGCGGGTGGCTTTATGAGGTGTTTATAGATG